TTTCATTTTAGTTGCTAAAAAGATGGTTAAACTCTCATAATTGACCAGAATGATCTTCTTAATGATCAGAATTATCAATTCAAAGAGTTTAACCATCCTTTTGGCCACCCAAATGACATTTGAAAAGCCATTTGACAGCTGATTTGTTGACATCTACTATGATCAGTGTTTCAGAAACCGGGCGTTATTGATCGTTGTAGAAGTTGTAGTTTGTTCTTCCTAGGTCCATCTTGTATTTTCCAGGTAGTATTATAGTAGTTACTATATAACTAAACCTAACCTGGTACTATAAGCAACATGGTCACACTTTAATGGTAGTCAAAAAGTGCACATTATACTTTAAGGCTTATTTTAAATTGAGAAAATGAAAATCGATAACATGTATCGAATTTTCTTAACTTGTACAAAGTTTAATTCAACTTATTCTGAAATACCACTCATTTTCCGTCTTGCACATGAACAATATTAGTTGCTCATCTTTGTCTGAAACAAGACCACGATAAAAGTGCTCGTAAGAAATTACAGACTTTGAAATAACAGATATATGCGAATTAATTAGAATAATTTGCCACATTAAAATCGATACTACCAGCATGTACCGAATTCGACTGTACTTTAAAAATAATTTTCGTATTTAACTCGCATACTTTAACTGATGCACTTGAGTGAGATGATCGCTGATATGTGGAGTTAAGTGGTTTACAGATCAGACGCGTGTGGATGTATCGACCTCCAGTCGCTCCATTGTCGGCGTAACGGCGGCTAATTGAATCTATCTGATCTATTATACTTTTAATCAAGGATATTGCTGTATTGCTGCCGTGCGGGAAGACCAAATGAAAAATACTTGAGGGTTTTTTACGCTATTGCGATGCCCGTGCATTTCTTCAAGTTTCCTTATAGACCATAAGATAGATTGTCATCGTTCTGTTTTTTGATTAATTACGGAATGGGTGCAATGAAACCTTATTAGCGCTTTGGTGAGTGTTATGTCACGTAGTAATTAATGCTGCCTTTTCAAAATTTCTCTTACTTATCACATGCTCAGCGGTGAAGGGAAACATCACGAGGAAACCTGGATATTTTCGGAATAATAACAAAAGGAATTTTTCATAGATATGTGAAGTTTGCCAACCTGCAGTGGGGCCCCCTAATAGGGCTTTATGCAGCAGTGGGACTAAACATGTCCCATGTGTCTTTACTTTATTTTACTAATTTACTTTTTCAGCGCATAGCCCAATAGCGTGTATAGTTTCAAATCCGAACGGAGCTTTCGTCTCGGGGTGAACGGCCTCGTCCGGCACGACGGCCTGTCGAAACGAATCGATTCTATGATAGAATCGCCCCCTAGATCGATGGACGCCCGTATCTCGTTTCGGAGCGAATCGGGATGATATCCATTTTAAAATAGTTCGGATCGCTTCACGAGGCCGTGTGGTGGTTGGACGGTTTACGTAACGCCATTTAAAGCGTGCTTTAAGACTGATAACGTGACTTACGTAGTCTGTTTTAATTGTTCATAAGACAAAACACTCTTATCACTACATAGTATAACACAAGTCGTCCCGCTGACTGTCTGTCCCTATGTATGCTTAGATCTTTAAAGCTACGCAGCGGATCTTGATGCTGTTTTTTTTACCACATAGAGTGATTCAAGGGAAAGGTTTATATGTATATTACATTGCACCCGTGCGAAGCCGGGCCGGTTGCTAGTTGTAACTATTTTGATGCATTTTTAAGCTGGTACCGTTGAAGTTAGCGTCACAATATCTTTGAATAACTCTATAAGCACCTTTATGAATTTACAAATACTTTGAAGTTAGTTCGAGTCAAAGGTTTGTTAATAAGTAAGTAAAAGCACTAGATGGAGGCCGAACTGTGCAAGTGTTCAGGAAGTCTATGTGGCTCAGGATTGTGCGTGAGGGAGGCCTATATTCAGCAGAGGACTCAAACAGGTTGAAATGAATGATAATGATGGTGATCATAACGCAGAGTGACCTACAATTTCTAAAACATTCCTTAGCCATTTGCTAAGGAAACTTTAAGACGTTTTATGTTAGCTACAAGAAAACGTTAAAAGAAACAAATTTTACACATTCCGTGCAATCCATCGGAAAGGCGGTGAAGCCACGAGCTAGTCTGCGGTGACAGTCAATATAATAACGGCGTAGAATGCAATTGTTATAATGACGGTACGAGTATTGCTGCGTATAGCGGAAGACATCATTGCTACGGCCAATGTCGTTAGAGAAAATTCCGTGATCGATTTATATGGACGATATATGGAGCGATCACCGCAGTGGATTCAGGTCCTAGTGAGGTGCAATCGCCAACGTGTTCATATTTGAATTGACATAAAGTTATGTAATATTTAATAATATTATAAATATTTACGATTTGTTTGTTCGCACAATGAGTAATCTATTGAAACGTTTATCGATGCCACAAAGTTTTCACGAAAAGCTTCGTTAACTCCGAGTAGGAATGGAGTATTTTTAAACGGTTTTAAACCCGTACGGTTTTATTTATTTATTTGGGTCTTGAAATTTAAGCGACCAGATTGATCTGAAATTTGTACGGAATTTATTGTAGTTTTCAGTGCACATTAAAACCGTTTATTAAAAGTTTTTATTTGGGTTTTATTTAGCAAAATTTATTTGTTTAGCAAAATTAAAATTGAAATTTAAGCACCTTCCCGTTGTCAGATTGATCTGAAATTTGGTACACACATTTAATTTAGATAACAATACAATATTGTAGTTTTCAGTGCACATAAAATAAAACCGTTTAACTTAAAAGTTTTTAAACGGTTTTATTTAGCTCTACCCGTACGGAATTTATTTGTTTATTTATTTGAGTCGAAATTAGAAATTGAAATTTAAGCACCTTCCTGTTGTCAGATTGATCTGAAATTTGGGACACACATTTAATTTAGATGACAATACAATATTGTAGTTTTCAGTGCACATAAAATAAAACCGTTTAACTTAAAAGTTTTTAAACGGTTTTATTTAATTAAAATACAATTTTAGGTGGTAGGACCACGCAACGGTATTCACTGTTGCACGAATGGGCAGGTCCGTCCGGGTTACTACCACGACCTCTCAGAAGACCGGCGTAAATTAGAAGTGTTATTACTTAACATCAGGTGAACCGCCACGCCAGCTCGTTTGCCACTTGCTCACATAAAAAAAAATAAGTTATTCATTTAGATATTTGGAGATCGCAATGCAATCGTCAAGTATGCCAGCATATTGACACTCATTATATGACAAAAATGAAATGAGTAACATAGCTCTCTTTCTCACAATGCGTAATTAGAGACCTTTCATTGTTTTCCATACTACCTTTCATTGTCTCCGTAGTCACGAAAACCCGCATTCTGTCCGGTGGAATGGGTCGTGAAACACCGTGTGAGAATGGCTCTGATTGAATTGACTCCGTATTCATCACCGCAACAACAGTAGTGTCGAAGTACTCGCGGGTAAATGGGATTCGTAGATTGGCTCGTGTACGTGCCTCGTCTCTGAAGGGCTGCCCCGCGCAATTTGCCTCGACATGAATGACGGGCCCTGGGAACTATTGCAGTGGCCTCGTTCGCCGCTGTAGCTAATCTCATTTAAACAGTTATCGATTCAAAGGAAATTTCTTTATTTAATTAAAGCGAAAAACCTTTCAGTCTACCGAACTTTACATCTACAACAGTTCCACAAATGTAGACCTGATTGGAGAAAAAGATGAAGGCAAGGAACTTGCATCTTTGGCTCGATTTGGGCGATAGATTGGTTTCCGAGCCGCGAGTTATGGGTGTAACTATGATCCGCAAAGAATTCATGTGGTATTGATATGTGTTATCAATCAGCTAGTAAGGTAACTAATTAATTAATTTATTTGTACACGTTTGCCCTTATTGTCGGATGTTACTGTGTAGTGTGTGGATGAGAGGTGGAACTATTATATTTTGCGTTTCGCCTGGTGACTGAGGTAGCCGGTGCTCATTTTTAATGTCTGTCAAACGCATCTGCAAGCCCCATAGACATCTAGGGCACTGCTATCCGCTTAACATCAGGTGAACCGCCTGTTCACTTTTCGCAAAACAAATGTTTTATGCAAATAAGTGCTGTAAGTAAAAGCATATTAAACGAACATTTCCGAATTGGAACCGCCTTCTGCTACGTCCATTCACATTAATAAAAAGTAATAACCCTGAGAAGTATGCACACATTGTTAGCTTTCCGATAATGACTCGATTGCGACGGGAATTTCGCCATTTGCCGAGATGTAATCTTCCCGGTTGGCTTCGTTGACGTTGATAAAAGAATCTCGCTGCCTCCACTACAATAGAAGTGTTGACGGAATTCCAGCGTCAATCGACTGAGTCGCAACGTTGCAGGGCTGCCACGAATTAAGTCTCAATATATGTATTATGCTTACTATAAAATGGGTGATATAACAAACTTGCTCACGTATATTCAGTAACTTATGACTATTAGTTTCATTTAAATTCTAAGATCTCATCAGCTAGCGCATATAATTATTTTACTTTATTACCACATTTTGGGATTATTATTAAACTTTATTTGAATACCGAGTTTTTTAAAAAGTAAATCAGACCGGAAAAACGAACCCATAGCAGATATTTTCTTTCACCGCTATGCACGTGATAATTCAGCACTTAAAATTAACAATTCCGTTAGTGCTGGCACCGGGATTTGAACTGGTTTGCTCGAATTGAATTAAAAGCAGGCGCCCGGACACTGAGCTATCACGGCATACATGCACAACTTCACATATATGTATCTTCGAAATACTTTTTTGCTAATATACATCGTCACTGGAAAGGCAAAATTAGTTAGCCGCCAAATAAATGTTTGGCATTTAAGTATATTTGTCCTTCCAGTGACGATATATATATTATAAAACACGTGGCAGCCCTGAAATGGAAGAGTAAATGACATTCCTGCGGGGAGGTTTTTTGGTGGAGTGCCGGAGCGGAACGGATGCAAGGCATTCACATCGCCGGCAGCGGCGTCTACTCGCGTCTGTGGCGGGGATCTACTAATGAACTATCAAACGAGGAATCTGAATGGGAGGTGACGTCCATCGCACCCACCTTCCGGTGGAGATTGCTCATAACCGACGGCGTTTAGGGTTGAACGGCGAAGTGATGTTTCGTCGATGTTTGTGAGCTTGTTTATAAGTTTTACATTGTACTGCTGTCGGTAACGGTACTACATTGTAAAATTTGTAAAGTTTATTTACCTAATTAGCTCTCAATATATAGAAAGAAAATTCAGCTTTCATCTCACGCGAATTTATTGTAGTTTTTTGTAGTTTTGTTTAGTATATAATGCTTTAGCTTGTTACAAAAACGGTAGTCGCATATTTGAGCTTGTGTGCGGCGACAGAGTGATCACTTGTCACGGTTATGACTAATATACCCTAACTGGTTGGGCCTAAAAAGAGCCCTGTCATCTCTGGCGTCTTTTTCATACAAATAGCCTTAATATCAATTTATAACCTAACCGGATCAACGGTACCGAGAAAATGTCGCACCTTTCAACGGCTTCCCAAAAATCCGTCTTGTTGCACCATGGCGTGGGAAGGGCCAGCTGCTCGCCTTTTCGGGGCGATTAATCAACTCGCTGTTAGTTTTGTAGGGTTCCGTACCCAAATGGTAAAACGGGACCCTATTACTAATACACCGCTGTCTGTCTGTCAGTCCGTCTGTCATCAGGCTGTATCTCATGAACTGTGATAAATTTCAGACAGTTGAAATTTTCACAGATGATGTATTTCAGTTGCCGCTATAACAACAATTACTAAAAAACAGAATAAAAAATATCTAAGTGGGGCTCCCATACAACAGACATAAAAATGTTCCCGTTTTTATAGAGAACGGTACGGAACCCTTCGTGCGCAAGTCCCACCTTGTCGAAACGGATCTAAGTGATTGGTGCCCTTCTTGCCGGACTGTCACGTAATACGAAACATTGGACCCGCGTTTCGTGTGCAAACATTACGAAGAAAGGAGTTTCAAATGTGTGGATAAAATTGTGGAAATTTATTCCCCGCCGCCAGGACGGACCTGTGTATTTCGGGTTACGCGTCCTTACGCTCTGCTAAGCTGAGCAGCTTAGCAGAGCGGTCGGTCGATATTAAATTTCAATATCAAAGGCGACAATCTAGTCAGACTACAACTCCGATCAAGCTCCGGCTCTCTCGGGCACCCTCAAATAGGATTGCTAAACGGGTATTGAGTTACAGCCCAAGCCGAGGTCCTCTCTCGGGGCCCTAGAGCCTAGTTACTCCATGGAGCGTCCGCCAAAGCGACCTATGAGCTTGGCGGCCAAACCAGTGATAATAACAATAGCGTAACGGCCCGACCCAAGGCTCCTTCGGGAGCCCTCGAGCTTAGTCACCCATAGTAGAGGTTCAGGCTAGGCGCCCTCAGCGCTCGGCCACCTCAAGCCCGGTGGATGCGGGGTTGCCAAGCTTAAAAATAGTATGCCGCAATTACAATTAATGGAAGCTAACTTTCAAATTACTGTAATATTTTTAAAATAAATTATTTAACGGTATTTATTCCGCCGAATTTGTTCTCGATATTACGATCACTTTACATAGGCTTTAATTTTTTTTTCTTTAATCTCGCTTTAACGGATATTATATGGTGTGACATCTACGGTTGTCTCACTGTAAATCCCACAAATCTCTTGTCGCACCGCATAAGTGGAAGGATTTTGTTAGCCAGGCATTTTGGCAGATTTATAGCCAATTTATTTTGACGACATAATACGCGTTTATGTTCTTGGATTTAATCTGAGGTCACCTCAACCTGCGTTAAAATATATATTATGCATAACTGAACTTAGGGTCAGTTGTGAACTTTGATAACTAATTAATAAACTGCACAAATATTTAGTACTTAGAATGCATCTGTAACATTTTAATTTTACCTACACTTTAAACTTTTTTGAAGTTGATTTAAAACTTTAAACCTTAAACTGCTCGAAACAATATAAGACACGAACCTCACTTAATTCATTTCATAATTAGTTGCGGAAGAGACTTAACGTAATATCTTAATTATCAATGTTTTTTTAAAACTTGAAGTCAACCTGGAGCACCAGTAAACAGTACAACGGAAACAGCAAATCTAACATGATGTTAACAATACTGCTGTCAAATAAGAAACCTAACCATTTATAATATTCTGAAGTCTTGCTTGGTGCAGTTGTTATGAGTCATGAGATAGAATAGATTGAAGACACATTGAGGGTTAGATTCTCGCAAGTAACTATTATTTGTGCAGTCTAGCCAATACAATGTCTAGCCAATAGATAGATATATGTCTCACCTCTAAAGGTTCCTATCACCACATTCCAACACACCATTGCGAATATGTGTGACTTAATATTTATAGAAATGTTTTTCCTTATTATTTGACGATGTTATTTAAATACTGTGTATGTGGTAAATCAGTACATTATAATTATTTCATTTTTAATGCTCTAAGATACCTCGTTCTACACTTTCATAACCTACAAATGGTTGATCCGGTTGTTGTATCTGCCTATTCAATTTGTACGTATAATAGGTACTTACGCCTATACAACACAGTCCAGTTATAATTTTTAAACATCATCAAGCGTATTCGTATTCAATTAATAGGTTATTTTTTTGAATCGACGTCATTAATATAATTCCCGGATCGGCCGCTTCCGGTGCGAGGGCCTTCGTTACATCAGAGCGCCGGACGGGCGGTTGCGAACTCTTTATTGTTCTCCAAATCGGGGCCGCGTGGACGACGGGCGTGTCGGCGGAGACACCAAAGTGCGTCGACCGCTCGATTTTCGTCTTTTACGGCGCGTTCGGCTTTCAAGAGCTTTCGGCACGGATTCGGCGATTAAAGGCGGACCGCAAAGCCGCTTAGGGTGCGCATCCACCAGGGGCACGGTGCGACACGGAAGTGTCCACCAATAGGCTGACGGAATGGACTAGGCGAGGAAAAGTAGACGTTTCCCTATTGGTGGATTTCTTTCGCTCGTGATATGGGCAGCTGTAGTGGAAAAGCATCCTTTACGTCAAATTAGTCGTTCGATTTAAGATATCCCGCTCTAGATCTTTTCTGATTTGGATTAGATTAAGATTTTGAGAAAGAGAAATGGTCTTGTGTCATAATTTATGCAATTTATACTTATATTTAGCTCATATCAACCTCGGCATAGAGAACCAGAGCATATTAGTCTGCTAAATTTAAATCGCTCTTTTGTACCTACTTGTATACAAGCTATAAAAAGACTCATAAACCAACCATTTCTTCCAATTACATTATTATTATTTACTATTGACTTTCTTGTTAAAATAAAAACAATAAAATCAGAGTATTATTCAGAGACTCGACTTATTAAATTTAGTAAAATTACCTTGTAGCCTGATATTTTTTTATTAGTACTCAAAGGCAATAAGTGTCCCAATCTCGCATCGAATGTACAAACGGTGGTAGCTCGATGTCTAGCGACATTGACTCAGCGCTCAGGGGCAACGGTTTCGAATCATCTGAACTATTATTTTAAAATATAAACAAATTCAGTATTTCAGACACCTTGAACGAAATCAAGGACTCTGGAAATCTTAGGTAGCGATCTATTAAATTTGTTTTCTGCTTTAGAGGATGTAACTGGTTGATTGTATTAGTCACGACCAGTATCGTGATAGCTCAGTGTGTGAACCGTGATAGCTCAGTGTCTTTAATTCAATTTACTCGAGCAACCCGAATTCGGAAATTGTTAATTTTAAGGGCTGACTCATTACGTGCACAGCGGTGAAGGAAAAGTCGTGAGGAAACTTGCACATTTTCGAAATATTGACAAAAATATTTCGTAGATATGTCCGCCATTCCGCAGTAGGGTCCCTGACATGTGCAGAAGAGTAGCCTTTGCCTAGCAGTAGGACATTTATAGGCTGTTAATTTACTTTACTTTATAGTATCGCGATAATATTTTTACACGAACTTCCCGGGAAAAGGTGCAATTTCTGCCATTTACTTTTATTAGACGGTCAAGTGTAGAATTTAATGCGAGGAATGTACGACAACAGAGTTCAGGTTGCTTGCGAAATGTGCGAGGACATACATTGTCGCATTCCTTTAAGTTCCACTAATAAATATGGCTGAATTTTCGAAACAAGCTAAGTTTGTCAATTGTTTGTCAAGTGAAGCGAAATATTCTAATACTAAATAGCATAGTCGAGCATTCTGCGCGGTCCTAGGATATACATTTGATTTGGATCGTTGTCTTGTTAAAATAACAGTAAAAGAAAAGCAAAGTAACAAAATATATTTGTTCACTGTTAACACTGAGAGTACTTATTTTTAATAAGTTTAGTAGTAGTAAAGATAAATAAAAAAAAACAATAATATGATGAATAAAACGTATATCTGAACGTATATTATAGAAATAATTATATCGAGGAAATAATTTTAAGTTATCAAACTAAAACTCTTTTGTAGTTAATAACATTGATGGTTTTTATAATACAAATTAATAAGTTATAACAAAAACTCATTCATATTATATTTACGACCAAGTTATATTTTCGACCCAATCATTGCAATAGTTAGACCTCGTATTTCCAGTAATAAACATTTTTTTATACACAAGAGTTTTAATACAATTTTAGAAAGTAAATAGAAATGTTTTTAAGCAAGGTAAGCTGTAACGTTATCAGCCAAATCTGAATTTATTTTTAAAAATAATGAATTTATAATATTAAACAAAACAAGCAAACTCATAATTTTAATAAGTTCTCACTGCCACCAAAAGCAAATTTACCATGTGCGATCAGATAAAAGCCGTAATGTTCTTAAACAATGCACGCTCAAAAAACCTGAATAACCGCTGCATAACGTTGATATAACGAATTTTCAAAGTTAAAGTTTGTGGTGAATAATTTATTGGTAATAATTAAAATATGAAACTTGATCACTGTTATAACAAACATCAAAATGCGGTAGAGAGAATGAGATTGGAAAAGTAGCACAGAGGTACCGCTTGGAGTTACTTAAAGGTTGCCAACGAATCTTCAAACACATGGTGGTTTTTTTATTATCTTTATTTTATGGAGTTTTTATCTATAAAGATACACCGACCCCATACATGGTTGTTGTGGGATGTCCATGCCAACAATATTCACTCACAATGAGGGAATTCATTACTATTTTGCCAACTTTTCTAATAAAGTTCTCAATAGCAACAATGACGACAAAACCTTGGATGCTAAACTACACACATTTTTACACACTTAACACTCAAAGCCATCCTACCGACCTTACTAATATGTTGACATTCCAAGTCATTTGAATCGTCTGAGTCCCAGCTTTTTACTTTTACTGGCTGATGCCTCGACTTCGTCTGCTCTGTTTGTTATATTAGTAGTAGTATGCGCAGCAGAAAATAACCAAAAAAAAGACGATGACCATCACGCTATACGAGTTAAGTGATTTTTCCAATCTCAAAAGAAATTTTGGTTGCGCAAGACTTCAACGCTCTCTAAAGATTCGTGTGTCATTGAAATTTATTCTTAAATTCGTTTCTTTGCTATAAATCTTGAATACATATACTATTTATTATACATAAAAATATATTAAATTACTCACTTCATCAAGATGTCCTTTTCGCTAAAAATATAGAATTACTCTGAGACAGACCTAGGTATTTAATGAGGGTTCCTTAATTTTAAATACAATTTAAGTTAAACGTTAGAGCGATTATTATAATCAAAATTATTACTCCTTATCAGAATACTAAGTAAGACAAAGGCAACATTTTACGATATGATTTTTGATGAGTTGATATACTATTTGAATAAGAATTAGTTATAAAATTGTCAATTTTCGTTGAAATCAATGATAATTTTCCTTCAACTTTTTTACATCAAATACAACTGCATTTTTTCGGTTTTAATTTCTCGACGAATGTATTTAGGACCGCGTCATGAGCTCTTTATGTTTTTGAGTAATGCTGTTTACGTTGCATTACTTCAAGGTTGCTGTAGAGTGTCTGCGTTGCTATATGCATATTAAAATATTTAAAAAACATTATTTTAAATATCTCAAACTATGCAATGATACTAGTTCTGATTGATACGTAGTGCTTGTATAAGGAAGGTAAGCACAATTTCGATATCTTTAAATTATGATGTGTTAATGTTGGTATTTTTTATTCAACAGTGAAAGAGGCATCTCATTTTATAGCTATATTCTCTTCAATTGTTTTGAATATAAAAATGAACTTTTGAAAATAAATATATTATTAATATAACTTGAATATAAAAGTTCAATAATTTAAATGTTATCAGTGATGAATTCTTTCTTTTTTATCAAAAATTTTGACAAAATAAAAAGTACGGTAGTAGATATTAGACCCGATTAAATGGCTAACTCTGTAAATGTTTAAATAAAAGAATCCGGCGATGTGATAATTATTCATGGTAACACTATTGCCGCGGGTCAACGAACTATTTTTCGCGATGCGTTGAAGACCTGAAATTACGTAGAAATAAGCAATTCTCGTTTTAAATTTAAGCGGGTTTGTAATGAGTTCATGTGTAGATACCTAATAACATACTTGTTATGAAGTGTCAGTTAGTAAGTACATCTTTAGTAGGTTTTATATATGAACTCACTTGATTTAGTATATTAAGGGTATGTCTTGAGTAGCAAGCTGGAATGAAAGCAAGTTTTTTTGTATCAACTATATTCGAAAAAGATTGATCAATGTAATTACTTACCTACTTTAAAGGACGAAATTTTCCACTCAATTTTAATTAGTAATTAATTTATCAACAGTTTAAACTTTAAATTATATCTACTTTCCTTTTTCAATGAATAGTTGTTAACGTGAAGAATTTGCGCGGGAACCTTGTAATGAATGTTTCAACACCCGTCCATAACTTTTGAGTTATCTTGTCTTTGTTACGTATCTGTCGTTGTTACGTTCCTAATTTTGCACATTTATTGGATAGTTGCATAGTATGGTCTGATTATAATACAAATCGAACTGTTTTTATTAAAACAGTCATTTCATTAAATTGTTAAGATGTCTACGAAAGTCCTCCCGACTTTCGTAGACATCTTAACAATTCATTACATTCATTCAACATCTTAGAAATTCATTCACAACGAAGATTTCGACTCTATACTCTTCGATTATATTTCAAAACTGATTTTCGCTAGTCTCTGTTTGTTCGTTCTGCGTGACCTTTACTAAGTGGTCGGGGCACAACCATGAAATACGGTCATCTGTTATATAATTTACCGCGAAAATAATACGACACGTAAAATTTGTTTTAAAAGATATAAAAAGAATAAATAGAAAAAAAAAGATATAAATAGAAAAAAAGATACAAAATAATTTATAAATTTTGTTTAAGATTAAGTCGTAGTGCCCGTTAAGCTAAATGTTTAAAAAACCGGCCAATTGCGAGTCGGACTCACACACAAGGGTTCCGTACCATTATCGATTATTTATATATGTGAGTCCTACTTAAATATTTTTTTTATTGTTTTTTTTAACATTGTTGTTATAGCGGTAACAGAAATAAATAATCTGTGAAAATTTCAACTGTCTAATTTATTATGGTTCATGAGATACTGGACAGCCTGGTGATAGACGGAAAGACAGACAGACACACAGACAGACAGACAGACAGCGGAGTCTTAGTCAAAGGGTCCCTCTTTGATTACGGAAACCTAAAAATTACGACAATTGTTTGTAAATCATACAAATATCCGCTCGAGCGAGCTCGCTTTCCCCAGACCAGTTAGATAACTATAAAATGACATAGATAGCCATCACACTGTAACGTCTAAGAACTACTTGTGTACCTTTCAGTTACAACAATAGTAACTAGAGTGAAACTTTTCTATTC